TATGAGGTTAAGGCAGGCCAGTGGTGCTAAGAGCTTCTGCTCCATGTGATCAACTTCAGGATTCAGAACTTGTTTACTGGGGACGAGGTGGCTAAGATGAGCCATATGCAGTTCCCTCCTCCTCAGCCTAACACTGCTACTTGGGACTACTTAAAATATAGGAGCTGCCACTGGCCAAAGGTATCAGAATGTGCATAGGGATAAGGGTGTGTGTGTTTAGAAGTCACAGTATGGGGAGGTAAGTCAGGGAAAATGGATTTATGTTGTTGTTTTGTGTTCATGCCCATGTTCTCACTTTACTTGTCTATGATACAGGTTTTGAATGAGGATCCTGTTGGAGGTTACCCCTTAGGCCTGTCCTGAATATTTGTGGAGATTTTGTTTAGCTAGAAACTCAAGGTCAGGAAAATGAACCCAAACTTCGAAGAGAGAAAGGAGGGATCTTGAAGGCGTAAGAGGAACCAAGCTTAGTTCCAAAGAGGCACTCTGGTACTGTGGGAATGATATGGTGATGGACATTAAATGGGTAGTAGAAATGGGTTTCGGATGGGTGGCAGTGAAGAGAAGGGGTTGAGTGGAGGTAGCTGGTGAGGACTTACCAGGTGGCAGGATTTGACACTGTTCCCTCTTAGAGACAAATAGGAGATAAGCATGTGGGAGCTGGCTGTGGTGCAGGGTTCCCATTGAGAGACCATGTATGTTCAAGGAAGGTATTCTGCTCCAGGCCTGCCTTTGTGCGGAGAGGACTTTGCATTTATTTACCCTCTTTTTCTTGTACAGTTGTGTCTCTAGCCTAGCTACAATGTGACAGAAGTTCTCCAAAGCTGCCTGAGTGGGAGCCCCTGTGCCAAGGAACATGTAGAGGAGGATGTAAGGTGCTTTAAGAAGCCTTAAAGTCACTACACAGATCTCTTCACATTAGTTGGTTCACTGGGTCTTTGCACAGCACTGAGCAGAGAGGTAGCATTGGTCCGGTCATCATTGAATGGAGTCGGGAAGAACCCTCTCAGAATCACATTGCTTGTTTTGAACTTGAATTTCTAACCTAGGTCCCCTGTTGCAGCTAGACCAGGGGTTGGAGTGGAACTTCGGGGTCCTTGACAGTGTTCTGCATATCTGAGATCTTCACTTCCTACTTTGTACATTGGAGAGAGGAAGCTCCTAATGCCTTCATTTTCTTTCCCACTGCTTCTCTGACTCCTTGGAGCTCTTGTGCTGTCTGGCTTGCACTTCTTGGCTAGAATGCCAGGCATTCCCCATGTTCCTGAAGAGATATTTTGCTAAGCCATTTCAACACCTTCATAGAATTTTCCCTGTAAATTCAGGCATATTTCTGGTGTTGCTCACTGAGAGAGGAAGTCTCACTGTGGCATCTTTGAGGTTTTCCCATCCTATTTGTGAGGGCTGCCTGAAGCTTCCTCAGTAAGTATATCATGTTTGTGTTATCTGTTTGCTGGCTGACACGTGTCACCCACTGGAAGCAGTGGCTAATGCACTGCATAGTTAGATGCTAGAAATACTGTCATCAGCTCAGAACCCCTGCTTCATGATCAGTATAGGAGAATAGACCTCCCCTGTATAGGAAAATCGGGTGAGAGGAGTGATGGGCCTTAGAAATCTTTGAGTCCTGAAAACAGTCTTCATTCTTTTAAGGGTACTGAGGGGAAGTATTGCACTGTATCACCTCTTGGCTATTCAGCCTCTGAGTGACCTTTATTTTAATAGGCCCAGGGCTCTGGTAGAGAGCTAGAGAAGTGCTTGCCTTCACTTATCATGGACTTAGGCGTGAAGGGTTAGACTTTCTCTGGGAGTGTTCCATTCAGAACAGTTGAGGTTGGGTGGGGTCAGCAAACATATGAGTCTGTTTATATGTATCTGTCTCTGTGTTCTGTGAACAAATCCTGTTTGTGAATGAGAGGATACATGGAAGAACTTTTGGTGGAGGGTGCATTTAGCAGCCTTCTATTACTTTGTACTGTATTAGAGCTGGTTCTTTCTAGTCACCTGGAGAATGCAAAAGACGGTGGATCCAACCCAAAGTTGTGAGGGAAATTCATGAAGATATCTTTGCCGAGTTCCCAAGGGAAGATAGAACTTCCTGAGGAGACATTGCCTGCTCTTGTCAGGTCAGCCTAGTTCTGAGGCTACGGTACTTCGAAACTGTGTGTGGCCAAGTTACTAGGATATGAAGTGGCTCCTTGGTTCTACCTTATATCAACCTCAGCTACCTGTGTGGCATCCTTAAGGTGGGAGACTGGGAGAGACCATGTAGGCATAGAACCTGGGACTATAACCCATTTACCTTTGCAGAGAGTATTTCTGATACTGAGCTTAGGAATTGTTCTTAATTCTCATACAGGAAGTAGAGAAAGTATATGCTGTCTCTTGTATCTTCCAGGGAAGATTATTCTATTCCTGCCTTTGTATCGTTTACTGCCCCTATCCTGGGCCATTCCTCCCTGTGAAGGATACTATTGAGAAGGATTGTGGATGGTAGAGAAAGCACGATCAGATGAGATTTTCTAGAAGAGTTTCCTAGAAGAGTTTCAGAGCAAATCCACAGTTCTGACAGTCACAGGTATTGTCTACGGTGCTAAAGGCTTAGGTGTATGTTTAAGTAGGTAGACTACCTAGAAGAACTCCAGAGTGTAAAATAATTAGTTACTGGCTCAATGAAAGTTATCTTAAGTATGGAAAATTCTGTGTCCTTTTGCTTTATTGCCAGCAGTATATTTAGTATCAGAAGACTGGACATGTGGACAGGCTGGGGATGGTTAAATGAGTTGTATCCTAAGTTCATGCTTCCTATTGACTTCTTCCTCCTTCCATTTCTGTTTCCTACTCTCTTGCATCCCTTAGCCATTTCTGAATACACTCATTTATCTGTGGAAGATTAGATGCACAGGCTGAAGCCCCTCTGTGAAATGAAATTATTTTCACTTAATTTACACGTACCCTTTTATGAACTCTTTGAACCATGCCCAGATTTCTTCTAATACCTGACTCAAAGAAAATGCTCTCAAATTATTCTTTTAAGAATTCTTTAGAGGATAGTGACAAAAAAAAAAGTCTGTGTATGTCAGGTAAAGCTGTAGTCCATGTTTGTGTATACACGTCCATGGACAATGGTTGGACTGCAGAAGTGCACTGGGGCTATAGAAAGCTCACTATAGGTGCCTTCCCAGTTACACTGCTACATTCTTGGAGTATGGTTCTTCTGGTATCCATATTTGGAGTGCCAATGGACTGCCCACTGCAGGGATCCTCCTGTCTCCGGGTTTAGCTTCCTTTTGGCCTCAGCAAGAACACTTTTCCCTATAGTATGTACCTAATTTTTGGGCAGTGGTTGTTTAGGTATGCAAATCCTAAACCCAATTAGCTGTTATTTCTTTTAAGCTAAAATCCTAATGACCTTGGATGTCTAAGACCTTGGATATCACTCTGCTGGGTAAGAAAGGCCAGAGAGTAAGTTGGCACAGAGAAGGAAGGGACACTGCCTCTGGCCATGGCTGCTCTCCAAAACAGGTGAACTTTGTGTTTGAAAGGAATGCGTTTAAGCTTTTGGGCCTAATAGAAGTTACTTGTATTTTCTCTCCTTTTTGCCCCTCCTTTCTCTCCTTTACCTCTCCCCCACCCTTGCTGCTTCCTCAACCACCAAAGAATTTAATCTGCTACACAACAAACAATACAGTTATAAAACTTTGAAAACAAGAGGGCGTCACCTCCCTAACAAGGGAAAGGGCATGCTGGGTAGTGTCCCCGGGGAACATGCCAGGCTTGTATAGAGCCTGTGAGAGCCTAATTGACTGGGTACCTGGGTGCCTGCCATGCCCAGTGCTAAGCTATCTCTAGTCCAGAGAAGAAGGAATCCAAATGAAAGGGGTCAGAGAAGGGCTTTCAAAAGGGAAGTTGTGTGTTTTCTCCCTCTGATTTGATGTGAATGCACTAAACTGTGCAACTTCCTTGTCTGCCTCCTCTCTCCTCTCCCTCCTTTTCCATTTCCCCCTCCTACCTCCCTTAGCCCTCCACCTCCTCTTTCTCATTGTTCTTGAGACTAGCAGACAGAAGTCATGATAACAGAAAAGGGTTAGAATAGCAGTGTAGGTGCTACTACTGACTGGGCCTGCCAAAGATGAAACAGGGTTTGAGGCTTTTGCTGCCAGACCAGGCTCAGACCAATCTCTGCAAAGCCCAGCCTCCTCCTCTGACCTGAGGCAGTGTAGCCACATACACATCACAATGTGCCCCAGCCTATGTACTGCTAGGTATGTACCCAGGTACTGGGCACAACTACCACTGAGAAGTCAGTGGGTCCACCCAGAGTACCTTAGGGCTGTGCTGAGGAGGATGGTGAATTGATATGATCTCTGCTATGAGTGGTTTTGCCCTCTACAGAAGAAGCAAGGTCTGTTGCATAGAACTTTGTTACTGAGAACTCCTGAGGACGCAGTGAGTAAGCATATGGTTTCAGTATGGCCCCAGATGGGATGTTTTGCCCGTCTCTTATCTCAAGAAACATGGAACCTTGTTTCTTCGCAGTGGGAGGAGGAATAGATCGGTTCTGGCTAAAGGAGAGGTAGGGAAGTTAGACTTGAGTATCTGTCCTGACCTGATTAAGCTAGTATCTCCTTACCGAATCTGCCTCCTCTGAGCTGTATAGATTGTTTGAGAACGTTAATGGAGTGGGCTGTTTGGATCTAGGGCCATGAACTTTGGTAGGTATTGGAAAGACAGGCAGGCTTATCTTTCCTCTTGTGGCAAGCTTCAGCTTCCACGAAAGTGGTCTGGGCTGTGGTTGTTTTTGCCTGTGAGAGCAAAGCTGTCTGCCATAGCCAGGGTACATTGCACTCTTGCCTTCACTCTGTACCTTCTTCTCTCCTTCTGCACCGTGTGTATTTCATCCCAGAAGGCAATGTGGTACCATGCACTGTCCATCCCAGATAGGGCCCTGTGCCAGTACCTTAGTTCTCTGTATAGAATTTTACTGAGTTTTGGAGCTTTTGAGACCCAAGACTTGTTCAGTAGGATTAAGGAGTGGGGCAGAAAACCTAACCTTTAGAAATGTCCTTGACCAGAAATATAGGTGTTCTTATCTCTGATTCAGTGGAACCAGGAGACCCAATACTGGCCCCCACAGGCTTCTGAGGCCTTTAGTTCTCCCCCAGTTACCCAAGCAGGTACTTGAAGGACATGCTGAATCTCAAGGATATTATGTCCACCTAGGAGTCAGAGCTCACTGATTTTAGACTAACAAGCTCCAAATTCCCCTTTACTGATGGGTCCTCAACAGATACTCCTCATTTTATCACCCTTTCCTCTGATTCACTAGCCACAGCTTTCTGGCAACATGCTCTACCTACCCTGACAGCTAAAGACAAAATGTCCTGGATGCTGGGCCTGGGCTGCTGCTGAGAGTGAAGAAGCCAGGCGCCCTCTTCAGTGCACATATATATGCAGGTGGTCTGTTTTGGAGGTAAGATGGTCCTTTTTCTTTCAAAATAAAAAGACCCTCAGTAGCCTTCTCTCCCAAAGATGAGTTCTTCTAACTGGTGGGAACTCCTCAATCAGTTTTTAGAGGCAGGCAAGAAAATGGATGGCAGGCTTCTGGCACCTTCCCCCACCCTGGCTGGAATTCTCCTCATGCACATAGCTGTGACTCAGCACTTACTGCTGGGTCAGGAGGGAGAAGCTATTGCGGGGCTGGAACCTTCCCACATTCTGCATGTGAGCACATAGAACAGCACAGGCTGGGCCAGCAGGGTGAGGTTCCCGGGGCAAGTATTTTCTCCTCTAACCCATATTCTTCCCACATTTTAGGGATTTCTGTTCTGGGCCCAGGGTATTTAGGATTCTAAAAACCATTCCATTGGCCATAGACTTAAGTATAAATAATCTTTTTCTACTTTGCTTTTAACCGGTGACCCATGAAAAGTGTTTAACCTTTATTTGTACTGTTTGGCTTTCATGGTTTGGGTTTTCTATGTGTTAATTTTATATCTAGACAGAATATGACTTTTCCAGATTACTATAACTCTCTTGCATGCTATTGTTGCCTCTGGCTGTTCGTGTGGGTGTTTTCTGACTAGTTTTCCCTAGCTTCTCTTGACAGATGAAGACACTGAAGCCATTCAGGACTATGGCAGGGCCCTGTTCTCAGCATATAGGCAAGCAAGTGTCTAATTTACCAAGGAGTGACATTGCCTCTACCTCTCTGGCCCCTGCCTTACCAGAGGAGTAACCTGTCATGGGAGGGTAGACTGAATTCCAGAGATAAATAGGTACAGGAACAGATGGAGGCTGGAGAGTGGTGTCTCAGTGTTCTTCCCTGCTCTCTGGCCTGTTCAGAACTGCTACAGGAGGCAGGGTTTCTTTTCTAGACAACCCCATCAAACCCAGGAAATTAAAGTTTACTCGAAGCCGTTTAGTTGAGGAGGGAGATCCCACTATTCTCAGTGAGAGCAGAGCCCTAACAGTCCTAAGGTTTTCATGGGCTGCCCTCTTAGATAGTCAGGCCTGGCGCTAGAGAGCTACAGCCTTCCAGACTTAATCAAACCATCCAGCTATTCCAAACTAGTGAAGAATCACCACCTTGTTTCAGAAAAGGGACACTCCTCAGCTGACTACGGGAATCCTGCTTTTATAGGATGCTGAAGCTTGAGTGGGATTGGATGGACAAAGGGGTTAAATGCTAGGACTACGTCTTCCCCTCCTCTGTAGTTCACTGCTTAAGTCCTCTACTTTTAGTGATTCTCATTTACCAGAAAACGGGGTTTGCAGTCCATGGATGTAACCCTAGACCTTCCCTTCCCTTCATTGGTAGTTTCCCCTTGCCAGGCACTATTTGCTGGGTAGGTAGAAAGGAATTAGCTTCATGCCAAGCTGAGGACCAAAAGAAACAGTTGTTTTCTAAATGATAGCAAACTGGGATAGCCTTAGGGAAAGCTTTCTAGAGCTGAGATGGCTGAGGGAGGAGGTGGAGAGTTGCTAAAAGGAGATACCGGCACAGGCAGAGCCTCCTGGGAGGAAGAGTGTGCCCTGGATCCCTGCAGGATCGCTCTCCTTAGCATAGAGGGGAGGGGATTGAGGATGCTAGAGGAAGTTGCTAAGAAAATTTGGCTGAAATGGAAATGAGACAAGCTGAATATTATCATATGCAAATCTCAACTTCCCCTTCATTTACAGGGTTTGACCCTTGTTAATAACTGCCATCTAATCTATTCATGACCCAAAGCCCTCCCTATCACGGGCCACGGGCCTTAATTTTGGCAACCAGTGTCAGTGTCATTCAGGAACCCAGTGTATAGAATCTGCCTGCACTCCTCTGCAGCTAAGGCCCTGGAAAGCCCCAGGGAGGCTGCTGGGCCTTCTGTTTCTCCTCTGGCTGGCCCAGTTTCTGAGGCGCTCAAGCCTGTGCAGTGTCAGCGTCGCTAGGCTTCATTGCCATCATCTTCTCTATTGCTGGGAAGAATAACGAGGCCCCAGTGGGGCAAAAGAGCAAAAGCAGGTTCTCCCAGACTACCTGACCTCTCGAGGTACCAACAGTGTGTTCTTATCTTCACCTGGGTATAGCGTGTTCACAGTGAGTCTCTCCACCCCCATCCAGATTGTCCTAGCTAAATACCCCTCTCCCCAGTCTAGCTCAGAGTTCAGTTCAGGAGAAAGGAGGTCACTCTCAAGCTGTGGATCAAGCAGCAACAGTGGGCAGAGGGGAAGGATACAGACGTAGCTCATTGTATCCTGTAAGTACAGTTTCTTGTGCAGACTTCAGAATACTAATCTGCTTCACTGGCCTCTTAGAACAATTAAGTATTGCGACTCTGGAGATGTTCACATAATATTTGCTCTATTACCCTATAATAGCCAGGAGCCATACAAAGAGATGTTTGTATCTGGAGGCCAAAGAAAAGTTGCTGAGGAACCTGAAAAATACAGCTCTACTCTGTCTCCTTTCTCTGGGTTGTGACGTCAGTGGAAACGCACAGCAAAGAGGCAGGCCAATGTGGAACATAGCTTGTGAATCTTAATTTTTAGATAAATTTTAAAACCATACCTTGTTTTTGTGTTAGAGGATCATCTGTATAATACAGTAATAAGATACCAGTTTTTTAAATTCATTATGGGTCAAATCAAGTTGCCAGCCTACAGGGTCATGGGATGGGGAGGAGGAAGGAACATACTCTTTTTGAATAATACTTGTGGAAGAGTTGTCCTGGCACAGGTGACTCACTTGTTAACATCTCATAGGTCACTGTCTTGAAGAAGTGACATAATGTATCTACAGATACTATGCATCTTGGGCAAGACTACATAAATTCAAGACATTACAAATGTGCATATGTTGAATGGATCTGGTTCTTTTATTTCATTGTGTATAATAATTTCTAATGGCTAATGTGAAGTCATTCAGGAAACAAGCTTTACGTTGGTCTTGTCTGCTCAAAGTGTTGGCTGTGACTCCGATGCTGCTCTGAGCAGCATTGGGTTGGCTGTCATCTGCCTCTGACAGGCAAAATGATTCTCGGGGCCGAGGCTGGTTCTTCTGGCTGAACTTCTCTGCTTTCTTCAGTGAGATCCTCTTCTTCTGGAAGCTGGTTTCACATGGTGGCTTAGATTTTTCCATCTTTGTATCTAGCACCATTTGAAATCAGTGTTTTAGGAGTAAGAATTGCAGCACAGCAGAGGGTAGACTACAGAGGAACAGCTGTACACAGGACTGGCTCTCTCCTTCAAGAAATCAAGGGAAGACTTGAACAGTGAAATTTGCTCTTGAGTCTGTTTGGTTTTTAGAGGGAGTGATAATGAGAAAGTTTTTGTGCTCAGAATAAGTGGAAGGGTGTAACTGGGCAAAGAGTGATCCGCTTTACCCAGCATTCCATGGGTGGAGGAGGGTGCCTTGGGCCTGCACTGTTCATTGTCCAGTAATGTGCTGGGTGGTGATTGTAGCAGGGAAGGGGTGAGGGCTCTGCATGTGGAGGACTGCTTTCTTCTCATCAGTACTGCCTGCCTGTACCTGGAAGATCTGTGGAGCACTCAGGCCTGGTTGAAGCACCGCTGAAATCGCACTGTCGCCTGCCTTGAGAATCAGACCTGAAGAACACCACTGGTTCATCTCTTACACAGGCTGACCGATTTCTCCTGGTGTTCAGAGTCTGTTTTTGTCTAGCACCATTTGAAATCGGTTATGATGTAGGGGGAAAAGCACCAGCCTCCGAGCCTTGTGGTGTCTGGTCAGCATCAGCCTGTCATTTCCTACCCGGGCAGAGCACAAGAGGAAGATCACAGTTTCCGAACTTGTTTAATGCATATGTATGTATGTGGTTGCAAAAGTTAGAGATCACTTAGTGGGTTTTTTTTTAAATGTTATAATTTGTTGTTGTAAAATATCCTCAGTTAAAATTTCTGACATGTAGTACTGTTACAAACTAGTTGCTGTTGAACCGTCTGTTAAGTGTTGGCTTTAATAAATAATTTGCTACATTTAATCTATCCTGTCTGTGTTTTATCTATCATTTTTTATTCATAATCCTATGGCAATGAGAAGTGGGCCCTGGAAAGTTAATTTGCTGTGCCAATCATAAGGAATTGGAAGTAGGTTGCTGCAGACAGACGTTAAAAATGAAGGTCATTAAGACAGGAATGAAACTCCGAAGATGAAAGATGAACAGAGACAGAAGGTTGGAGCTCTAGGCTGAGCGACGTTACTAAGTGGGAAGACTATTCTTGGTTCCAAGGTAACTGTGCACTCTGACCCTCCTCCTCCTGTCAGAGTGGCTGCAGGGAACTTACTTAACCATTCTGTCATGTGGCCCTTAAAGGGGAGCAGGCTAATTTCAGTTGTATTTGTAGCAGATGGAGTTCTACTTTCCACTGATAGTTTATGTCAGTCCTTCAGTAGGTGGTGAAACCGTTCTGTAAAACTGTTCAGAGGTTTGCCAGCATTGGGCGTGGTGGAGGGGCAGGCTTCAGGCTTGGAGAACTTTCAGGAAGAAAGCAGGTGGCCCCTTCCATGGGAGTTGCATAGCTAACTGTGAACTACCTGCAGTACAGTTATTTCAAGCCAGTGGGTTCTAATAACTAATGGCAAATCAGCTGCTCGGGAAACTTTTTCTAAGCCTTTCGTCCCAGTAGCCTTACCCCAGATGGCTGTCTTGCCCATTTTGTTGGAAGTGGGGGGCTGTTGGAGCATTTGCTGGAAAGCCTTCCCGGTGACTATGATGCATCCTGCAGCTGCAAAGCTATTTCAAGCCTTTGATTGAAGAATCCATGTTCTAAGCCCCAGAATGTGCTGGTGGGAATAGCTAAGTACCCCAGCTTCATTTTCTAATTTGCCCCACTAAGGTAGGAGACTGCAGCTCCTCTAAGTATGACAGATTGGGTCTGTGGAATTAACTACACATTTAAGGTTTTTTAAAACATAGCTACCCTGTCCAAAGCTCCCAATTAATTTGTATTGAAAATATGATTAAAACACCCCCAAGATCATGATTCTGGATCTTTAATGAGTTAAGTGTTAGAAAGTGGAATTTAGTATCAAAGCACAAAAACAATAATTCAAGATTTATTTCCATTTTAAAAATCATAATATCCTCACTGAATACTTAAACTGTGCCATATCCTGATGTTCTGAGAAGCAAAATGAAACCGGAACACCTCTCAGTTATTTTTTATTTAGATTGCCTATAGCCCTTTACATAAAATTGTCACTCTGGGATAGTTTCTCCTAATTGGCTTATAATGTAGTTTTTTTATTATTATCTTTTATTTTTATTTTTTGGCAATACCATCCTGAGTCAGGTTTATAAAACCATGCTGTCAACCCAGGTATAAAGTCTTTTGTTAAGGCATTATTTTTTAAATTAAGCCTTACCAGACTTTTTAGAAGTGAATACAGTGTATTTTTGTTAACTGGGGGAAGAAAGATCTGCAACCAGTTTAGTAGATCAAATGAATTAAGTCTGGACTCTTGCATCTTAAAGAAGTTGGTCTAGGCCTTCTGTTTGGAAGCCGACCTATAGTCTCAGGAATAGATAGCACACTAATAGTAACGTACCTTTAAGAGAAGCCTAACATAGTTCTCTTTGACCTGGGGCACGTTCTAACCCAGAACCACACTGCTGTGGTTTTGGTCACTAAAAGAGTGATCCTCAGGTTCAGGTCCCATTCTTGCAAGCAAGCACTATTTTAGCTGGTTTTAGAATGGGGCTCAGAGGAGTCTATTGTACAGCCAAGGTTGAGAGCCATTTCCCCATTTCTGAAAAGGCCATACTACTTTGCTAGTAAGTTGTGTTAGTTATGTACTGCCAGTTAATATGTTGGTGCGTACATGTGTTACTACTGTAACAAATTAGCACAAATGTGATATCTTAACACACACAACATTCTTAACAGGTCGGAATAGCAGAAATCTTAACATTTTTACTGGATTGGAAACAAGGTGCTATCAGACGTAAATGCTTCAGAAGAATGAAGGAAGATTAGTTTCCTTGCTTTTGTCTGTAAACAGGCTGTGTCCTTTGGCTTGCCCTCTCCCTCAAGCTTCAAAGGCCAGCAGGATCTTTTGCCTCTGGGGCCACACTGTTTTCTCTGGTCAGTGTTCACATTTTAACAAAATCGTCACGTGATTAAACTGCGCGTCACGTGATTAAACTGCACGTCACGTGATTAAACTGCGCATCAATTTGAGAAGTATATTGCTGTCGGAGCCTACAGAAGGAATTCTTCATGGTTGAAACTCACCTCAAGTACAGATTTAATACTTTTTGAGGAGTCATTGCAGGTGGAGGTAGGTAATCAAATGACTTAATTTTTCCAAGCACCATGTAAATATGTTCACCTAACCATTAGATATTCCCTAAGTTCCCAGTGAAGCCACAAGCCCCAGCACTAGAGCTCCCGTTTATAATGGTTCAGCACAGGGTTTAGCATCGCAATGTGCAACAGTCTTCAGAGCGACTCCACACACATCAGTCTTACTACCTGTACTCGGGTTTTACTGGGTTTTGCCCAGTCATGGCAGGAATCACGGTGGATACTTTTTCAGCATTGTCTGTATGTAAACAAGACGGGAAATTATGCATTCATCTGTTCCTCAAGTATTATATTTCCTTCATATTTAAGAAGTGAGGAACAAAATAATTATTACCCTCATAAAAGCAGAAAGAGAGCTAGTGTTCTCTCTGATCTAAAATAAAATTAATGGCTCTGGAGTGCCAGCAATGACGACATCACAGTGAAGGCGCAGAAGACTGTCAGATACCTAGACGGTCCACAGGAGGGCAGCAGTGCTATGATCTCAGAGGCTTCCAGCTCATTTCCGGGCAACCTCAGCATGAGACTACAGGCCCTAAGTATCCTGATTCACATTGAAGAATACTTGTGTACCAGATTCATTCAATTCTGTTCTTCAATAGGCAGACTGTTAAACTGAACAATCCAGTCTTGGTTAAAATGTTTGCTCTCTGGTAGCTTCAGAACGCTATAGAATTCTTATTTCCCTTAAACCTTAAAATTAGGATGCAAATTCAGGTTCTTTTCACCGCTAAGTCTTTCTAGCGTAACTCAGACAATTTATTGTTAGTTACTATAAAAGTCCTCTCTATGTATTTTATACCAATTAAAAATATGCTAGAGTCTTATGTTAATTTTCTAAAATGCTTTAGTCAGTGTCATTTTCATTCTGTGTTTATATTATTCATAAACATTACTATCATATTTTAAAACTATAATTTATCATTGCTTATTTTGACAGACATCAAGACTTTTAAGTAAACAAGGTTATGTTAATAATCTGTTAATGACTTTTTTTCCCCAGTGCTAAGGCATGAATTCAGGGTCTTCTACATGCTAAGCAAGCTTACTGCCGGGCTACATCCCCAACCCATGAACAAATTTAAGTGCAAGTCTTTGAAATTTTGTTTTTTAATAGGCAGAATTAAAATATGATTTTCTGTAAGCTTTTATCGTCTTTATATGGAGAGTTGACTGTCAGGTTCTCTGAACACTAATGTAAGTTCTCAGCCTCAGCTGCAAATTAAAATCACCAGAGGAATTAAAACCTCCTGTGTTCAGGCCACATCTCAAATTTATAACAGAAGAGCCTACTGCGGTGGTACTCAAGTGTCAATAAAACACCCTGAGAGAGGCTAGTGGACAGCCTCGGGTGAGAAACACTGGACTGGCTTTGCTTAATCTTTCTTCATATTTGCAAAGGCAGCAAGAGTTATTTTCACATACAGAACATCATGTCCTATTAGTTACACAGTTCAAGTTTTTACTTTGAACCCTCTGAATACATTAAAATGATGTAAAAGTTACGACTCCTATTAGATACGTGTCTACAGACTCTTAAATGTGGCTGACTTAAGGCTAAGTGATAAGAGATCACGAGCCCGAGGAGCTGGAGCCTCACAGGACAGATAGGACGTGCATTGGCCTTGGAGGTACGTGGATCCGGAGAGGGTAGTAAGCATTTCAGGTGACAGTAGATTGAGAGTGTGGAAGGCACACTGTGTGCTTAATTCACAGCCGTTATATGCAGTCAAAGTGTGAGGCATAAGGCCAAGAGCTGGAATTGGACAAGGTCTAGTGTCTGCTTGGAAATATGGCCTTCTTCCTGCAGATACCATGTCACGGGTGGAACATTCTGCTCAGGACACAGCCACTCAGAGCTGGATACTGAGAACCCTTGGTGAGCTGCAGGGACTGAAATGTGAGGATATGGTAGAGAGGTTAGACACAGATTGTATTTAGAAACACAGATTTGATTTACACTAGAAACACACACAGACACACAAATTACCACAAATGAAGCTCCTGCAAATATATAATTTTGCTTTTGCCGGACTTGAAGATCCAGTTTTCAAAAATGGGACAGTAATGACTTCCACACATGGGATTTTCATCTTGCTGCAGATACATTTCTGTAGTTAAAAGAACATTTTAAGTCCAAATATGCCTCTTTCTCTGCCATTTAGACAATCTTAAAAAAAAGTACTTTTCCTCATATTTATATAACTGACAAAGTATTTGGTAAAAATAAAAATATATATATTTATACAGACATATGTGTCAAATATAGTTATTAATTTGAAGGTTAAATTTGAAGCAGAGCAAGCTATAAAGGTAAGTTTATTTTATTTATTTTTTTTAATTTAGAAAGGTTTTATTTTTTTAAAGAGAAAACAAATGCATTAACACACACCCAAATGCCACAGCAAGCACTCATTGTGTTTTGTAAAAGAGAAAACTGCCCTGTGGTGTCAGATGAAAACCAAAGCCATTTTAAGAACAACCACTGCTTACGGTGAGCTGGATGCATGGATAAGTCAGAAGCCATTGCACGTACTCAGCTGGCTGTACATGCACGAGCAAGGTGAAGTAATGGAAGGTCGAGTGGCCACAGTCACGCTTGCAGACCCTTTCCCCACTCCGTGTGCTCTTGCTCTGCCCTGCTGACTTCAGCCAGCAGGTAAATGTACAGAGAACTTAATATCAAAGGATGCTTTCAAAAGTCAAAAATAGATTTGAGGTCATGGCTAGAGTTACCCAGGAGGGTGGGGGAGAGGGGCTCTCAAAAGCCGTATTTCGCAAAATGCCAGGCACTAAGTCTAGTCCCATGTGCTTGCAGTAGAAAAAGAAACGCTAATCTTAATAGGGGCTGGTCTTCCTTCATGATGCGCAGGAACTCTTTGACCACATTGGCTCATTGACCTCACCGTCTCCATCTCGATCAGCTTCATCATTAGTTCCTGTAGTTCCTCATCTGTCAGGTTCTCGCCCAGCTCCTTGGCCACACGCTTAAGATTCTTGAATGATATTTTCCCAGTCTCGTCGTCATCGGACAGCTTAAAAGCTTTCAGGATTTCTTCTCAGACATTTTCTGAGTCATCACTGTCAAAAAGTCACTGAAGTTCATTTTTTTCCTGTTCCTTCTTTAACAATTTCACTTATCATTTTCTTGATTTCTTCTTTCTTGAGTTCAAAGCCCAGGGCCTTCATTGCCACCTTTAGCTCCTTGATGTCTATACTTCCAGTTCCGTCAGCATCAAAGAGATCAAAACCTTCCCGGATTTCCTGTTTCTGTTCTTCAGTAAGTTCAGGCTTAAAGGCTCATCCTTTTTCTCTGGGCACTGGATGCCATGTTTGTCTTAAAATTAGAGGCCATCACTCAACGGACTCTCTTATTTTAAAAAATAAAATACTTGATTGAAAATATTTTAAATTAAGTTTAAAAACAGTAAAGCCACTTCTTGTCTTTAAACAATTAGTAAATTCTTTTTCTTGACATGTTATCTTTTGTCTATTTTTTTAAATGCTGTGATTTTTAAATATAGCACCATGCATAGGTACAATTGCTACTTTTTTTCTTTTTTTAGTATGTGAAAATGAGTACAGACTTCAATTTTTCTTCATCGAGTTCCTGGGTGGTTTTTTGTTTCTTTTGTTTTTCTTCCTGAAATATCCACTTGGAGGGCACAAAGGGTTGCGGTGTCACTCAGAGTGACCGTAGGTGTTTATACTCAAACCAGGATTCACCTTTACTCGTTTCAATTTGTACTCACAGTCTTCTCAAGATGACGGTTCCTTGGCCCCGCTCTGCTAATGTAAGGGACCCCCGAGGGGGAGACCCCACTCTCACCCGGGGTTGCGCGCACCCAAGGAAACACGGAGACCGGCTTGATGCAAAATAGCAAAAGGTAGTTTACTGGCGAGGGGCCCTCGGGTCGAAAACGCATCCCATGCAAGGGAAGGATTTCCACCCCTAGCTCTGACAGTTCAAAGTTTATATATGAAGCGGCGCAGGGGGAAGGGGAGAGAGGGAAACTTTGGCGCGGTTACATTTGATTGGGTATTTTAAACATCAGCAATAGGTGTAAGTTATCATTTTGGCGGGCATAGCAAGCTTTTCTTGGTGGTCATGATGACTCGTATTTTTGGCCATGAAACCTCCTGATAGGGGAAGAAAAACACCAGATGGCCCATTTCTCATTTGGGCATGTTTAGACTTGTCAAAGCCTGTCCTTGCTTGTTCTTACATTCGTGGTCACCCTGTCCTAGGAGGAACTTGTTAATTTTTTTGTTTTGGCTGTTTTCTGCAAATTGTTGGTGGTCTGGGGGGCTCTGCTGAGGTATTTTGATTTTTTGTCCTCACACTACTAAATAGAAAAGTTCAAAAGACACTTTAGAAAGTGCAATTTATCAGGAGAGGCAGTTTCTTCTCTCAGCACTAGTGCCTCAGAGCCTGGCTGGGTTGGGGCCTGGTGGAGGTCAAGCTCTGCCTGCAGAGCTCCCTCAGTACAGCTGACAGCAGGGGTGCCACTAAGAGGGGGGAACAAAATAGTCATGGGAGGCAGAGAGAAAGGACCTGGGAGAGGGGAGAGGGGAGCAGGGAAGGGACTAAGGGGCAGGGACAGGTATGGGAGGAGGCAGGAGGGAGGCCTAAGGAGTTACAGAGTGAAGGTGAGTTCCAGGCTTATCAACCGAAATTTCAGGATATAGCGTTAACTCTGAAATCACATACAACCCAGCAGCTGAGCACATTGGACAGTGCTGTTCAGTGTTTACCTCTCAACTACTCTGTTCAAAACAGATAATGTAAAAACTCAACAACATTTTGTAAGACAAACAGTTCAGGTTTATATCATTTTAATGTTGGAGAAAAGCTATATATTAAGCCTTATGTTGGAAATCTACTTTATGACAAATCAAGTGTTTTTGATACATCTTGACTTTACATTAAGTATAGTTTCTTTCTGTGGCATACATTTTTCTTTTCCATTTCCTTCTTTTTTTCTTTTTTTTTCTTTTGGAAGGGGGGCAGGGTCTCAATTTGTAGCCTTGCTTGGAACTTACTATGTAGGCTGACCTTAAATTTAGCTCTGCCTGCCTCTGCCTCTTGAGTGCTGGGATTCAATTCAGGTGCAGAATGATCCTTATGTAACTTACAGCATGGTCTCTAAATTTGGGGGTTAGTACTAATTTGTTATATGCTGTCTAAACAATTAGTTCCTAACAATACTTCCCTATGTTTTCTTTGGTACAAAAAAAATGTAGAACAGTCTGTTGAATGCTCATACGTTTGAGTCAAGTAGAAAAAAAATGCTGAAATTAATTGGATTCTTGACTTTTCTGCACCATGTTGTGGTACTCCTCAGGTGTCTGTACAGACCACAGTTTTTAAGCTGTCTCATTCAGTCCAGACAACTTACGGATGATAAAATATTTAAATCAGTCAATATTAATTTAAGTTATACCAAGTAGTATCTTAGCATTCCATTAGCCTCACTAATGGAAAACAATGAAAATTACTATTATGGAAAACAAAACACATGAATCATGCAAATAATACTCATTCAGGAAGTAACTCTTACCT